CAGCTGTGCTTTTCTTCATTACCATTTGCAAACTGTGGGCCCAACTCTGAAAACCTTACTAAAAGCAATTTATTCTGCTTGTATATGAACCATAGGAAGTCACATATACAAACATAATGCATGTGAAGACTGTATCCTCTGGGCTGTTTTGTTTCCACATGTGGCCTCTGCCTTTAGTTCTTCTCCCAGAAAAACAGGAGGAAGGGCTTTGAACATACTTATGTCCTTGCAGCTCGATCGCTGTTCCTTTTCTTCCTCCAATATCCCACATTATAATGGAATGGTCTGAACTGCCCGAGAATAAAACTCGCTGCACTGGGTCCCAACAGAGAGCAGTGACACCACCTAAAATAGGAGATGCACAGTCATTTCATTACTGAAAGTGGAAGAGAAGAATGTAGCTAAAAACATAGACATTAAAAATACCACAAAAAATATAAAGAGGGTGATTATAATGTAGGTCTACCCAGCAAAGGCCATGCAGCCAACACACTGTGCTTGCCAATTGAAAACAAGCCACCCAGAAAGCTTACTGAACCTCTGCCCTGCCGTTCTCCAGGCAGAGGGCTCAGCTGTCTCTCACATGAATCCACTAAACAATAAAGAGGTAGAAGGAGAGCTGTCATATGACAGTCACAGTGTGACTGCACAGCACTTCATCTCCACCATTCCCAGGAGATAAATTTCACTATAAAAGAGAAGCCAGTGAGGAATATTATGGGCATCTTCACAGTATTGTAGCACGAGGATTGAACTATCTAGTGTTCTGCCTGGCCATTTCCTCAAAATTAGGATAGCCTTGGAAGGGAGATGTTGGTTACTGTGGAAGTGCACTGAAGACAAATATACCACCACAGAGGAGGGACATGAAGAGATGTTGAGGAATGACCAGCAATTCTTCTGTTAGATGCTAGGCTCACTTCCCACGGCTGCAGTTTTTATAGTGTCATAGGGCACAAGTCCCAGCAGCTAAACAAGCAGTTAGCACCTCCAATACGCACATCCAAGAGGTGTCTAACCCACTTGGGCAAAAGCATTTACCAGTGTGGGTCTTTCCCTGATGAGTATCCTTTTTCCCCTAGAGTTACTGCAACTCTTGTCCTAACTCTACTCTAATTAGCAGCTACTGATTGTGGAGTTTTCAGCACTTCTGAGAAGTCTCATCCTTCTCTTACTTTCACTAATAAGGAACTACTTCCCTGAGTTTTGGTGGCAGTTTAAGCTGGTCTGCCTCCCTACCAACTATGCATTGGCACAAGCCATCATAGTGTTTCACAGGAGAGTCACAGCAGTGATGTTGAGCACAGATGAACACCAGATTGGATCTCCTCCTGAAGCCTTACCTGTGTGTCCCTTAAATGTTGTTACGAGGCTGCAGGACTCTTGCTCTAGTTTGAGTATGGTCACTTGTCCAGAGTGATCACCAACAAACACATGCCGAGTTTCCACATCAAATCTGATGGGATAAATGCTGAGGAATATACATTGCTTATACAAGCTATGCATTGCTTTTCATTACTTGTTAATTCTTTTAACATGCGTATACTGCATCCTCATGAATAGTGCTCCAATCTCAAGGAGGAATTCAGAAGGGACTTTTAGGCCTCCAACTTCAGCTGTTCATATTAACAGTGGAGTCACCCTGGGTACACTACTCCAGAGGATGTAATTTGTGTTTTCACTATCGACCACCTATGAAGAAACCCTTCGCTGTCAGTAGAGGATTCTCATCTCCCCCAGGCTCTTTAACTCAGGTGCTAGAGTCGGATGGTGTTCATTCTTCAGTATCCCTTCCTCAATTTGTTTAAAATAAACTACAAGTTTTCTACTTCTTCATTACAATTAGGTTTACAAATACAACACACATCTTTTTCCCAGACCACTGGTCAACCTCACAGAAATCTTCCAGAAGGATATCTCCTTAAATGGTTTCTAATAACAATTTGGTGGCACTTGGTTGTGCTGTAAGAGCCAATCTGTGTTTTTTGTCATATTTGGGGAAGTGTTAGCTTCATCAGGTGTATCACACATCATACTCTAAACTGAGTAAAATTTGAACCCATTCAACTAACTACTGGAACAATCTATTTGGATAGATTCTGACATTTTAATCTAATTTAATTCCACATTTAGATTCTATACTGTATATTTAAGGAACTACTTCTTAGCATTAATCTTTTGCACACAGGACTTTAGGAACAACCACATTCCTGGTTCTGTCAAGCTTTTTGTGATATTTGTTAATGATTCCCCCTTCCCCTGCCAAATTAAAGTGACCTCCCAAATTTTAAATCATTTGAAAAGGTCAGTTCCCCGGAGAGGCTTAGGAAATACAGAACAAATTCCTGCATCACACCTTCAAAAATATCATTTAATTAAAAATAGAGTTCACTCTTCACTCAGCCAGATGATATAAAGCAAGTCCATACATATTTTACTTGTTCAGACAATAATTTTGAATTAGTCTCATTGCCCATGAACTAGCAAAACACACACCCTCTATACCACATACACTACAGGGCACTAAAAAGTCTGTTTATGCTAACCCCTGGTTTTAGCCTAAGAGCTCATACTTTTCAACTTCCCTTTCCATTTGCAATAAAGCTGAATTAATATTTCTTTTATTGTCAGGCAGCTGGGGCAGCTCTAGGTGAATAAGGCACTTGAGTGCCATTTCTGGAGCCATTTAGTTAACCCATATTCCTGAGGCACAGTGGGCTGTTCCAGAGTGAAGGACAAGTACTCATTATTTTATATTTAAGGCATTTAATTTTTACCGTGCATACACACAGGCAAACTGACCTGATCACTGACCTACTTTGCTACTGTCAATTCTTATAAGAAAAATGCTCTGCATCGTTAAATGAGGACCCTGTCCACATTTATTACAATAACAGACTACAATTGGTTGCAGACCGCCCATTGTTTTGTTTAAAAATGCTTAGACCTAAACATGCCACCACGCGTTAAAGACACAAAGCAAGCAGAACAGATGGTTTTTTTTAAATTGGCTTTAAATAACGGTTTCACAAAGCACTGAACAGGGCACAAAAGTTGGAGGATAATTTAAAAAAACCCAAAAGGCTGTTTAAGTGCCATACAGCAAAAATAAAGAGTCATTCCTCTCTTCTGTATTCTATGTTAGAACTAAAGAGCTAAGAGCTCAGCAAAGGATACTGCAGGCCACAGGCCCCTGCGTTGGTGCGGTACCCTCCAAGCCGCTGGCCGCTCTCCGAGCAGTGCCACGTGAAGTGCTTGTCTTGTCCGGTGCTCAACACCCACTCCATCTCCAGGACAAACAGGATCATCATGACCCTGCTTTGATGAGCTGCAAAGTAAGCAGACAAACATCTAATTTCATTGCAGAGAAGAACACATGGGCAGAAGACTGCTGCAAATACCACTTGCTTGCACACAACTCCTTCGCTTCTTCCTCACCTGCTCCTCCTTCCCCACAGAAGAAACTTGTGTTTAATGAGCAAGTGGACACGAGCTACCCCTGTAAGGCTCCTGCTTGGCAGGTTCAGTGTTTGCATGAGAAGTGGAGAGGCAGAACTTAATTCCTTCCTTGCCTATACTAGCTCTTTAGGTTTTTCAGTCAGAGATGTCTTCCTCATGTCACTGTATCATCACTGACAAAGCTGCTGTTGTGGAAAGGACTCTGGGCTTTATTTGAACCTGTTCTGAGCTGGCTTTTTGACAGCAGTGCAGATGCCCATGCTGTGGCATGCTGCCACTTCTCCCACTGTGAGCTCTGGTGGATCTGGGCTAAGGATTGTGGCACCCCAGACAACTGGTGAGTTACACATGGGCATGGGCACAACCTTACACCACAGGAAAGTTTTAGCCTTGCATGTGAACTGGCTTAAAAAGGAAATTGGGGGGGGGGGGAAAAAGAGAAAAAAAGACAAGTGGGGGGGGGGGGGGAACCCTACAAAGATCACAGCTGGGCAAGATGAATAAAACAGCTGAATTTCTCCTGCTACCTAAACAAAGCCATCAAAAGCTTTTCATTAAAGCAATGGAACCCAGATTTTTATAGAGGGCTTTTTGTATGAATGACCAGTGGGTTTGGTGGTAAAGTGTCGAGGGAACTGACTTTTTAATAAAACAAGTGGCTTGAAAGACATGCAGAATTGTTCCCAGCTGTAATTTAACAATAAATGCCATATTCCTCAATCCACAGGCTTACTGGTTTATTAGTGTTCTGGGACCCAGGACCATGTGTCACACAAAGCAGCTTCCTTGTATTTGTGTAAAAGCTGACACGCTGAAAGGATTAAGCAGCTCTGGAAGCTTAAAAACCAGCCCGAAACCTCCCTCTAAAATGCAGAGTTAAATTCCTCAGAACAATATGGAAAGGTTGCTGCCTACCCTATACAAATTTAACGTACAGACTAGAATTGTGTTCAAATCCTATGAAAAGGAGTTAGCTGTAGTAAGGCCTGTACAAGCTGACATCAGTCACTGATCCACACCACTTTTTAAATTCAGATTCCCCAAGGAGCAAAATCAATATATACATAGACACAAGTCGCTCTATCGCTGATGGGCAGCAGGACCAGTTTACAGTGTAAGACTTGAACTGGGCCAGATGCTTTTACCCTCACCTGCAGTAGAGCTTAGACCATGTTCCTTGTTTCCATACACTTTTAAACTCCAGGTTTGTAACCAAGACAGAGGGATGGAGACCACCCAGGAGTAACTGGAACATGTTTAAACATATCATCTCCCTGCTCCAGCCTTCCAAATCTCTTTAAAAAAATTCAGTGACCACACGGGTGACTAGTGCTTGTCTTTAGCTAGCTTTTGGTTGGTCTCCATGGGAGCATCTATGCTAGCTAATGGGAGTGGTGCCCTATGGGAATGGCCACAGTGGGATGTGTGCTGGTCCAAGGACCTGGGGAGCCCATAAATGTGTCCTAGGGGCTTACATGCACTGGCAGTACCATGATCAGGCCCTTGCACCTGCAGGACACAGGCAGTGCAAAGCAGGCCATGACAATGAGGTCGTTCAAGGCCTATCCAGGGGAGCTTCCTTTATCTCCAAGGATAGACATTCTCCAGCCCCTACAAGATACCTGCTCCAGCCACTGACCACCATCATGGAGAAAAAACAAGGCCCTGCTATCTATTCAAAATTTTTCCCTGCTGCAATTTCTGCCCAGCGCCTCTTGCCCTTTCACTGTATACTGCCAGGAAGACACTGCCTGACACTGTCGTCTCTGCACCTTCCCATTACGGGGCCGTAGGCAGCACTAAGACCCATCTCTTCTTAAAATTCACCAAAACCAGCGCTCTCAGCCTCTCCTCGTACACCACGTGCCCCACCTCCCTAGTCACCTTTGGGGCTCTGCAGGACAGCGATGCCTTCCTTGTCCTGGGGAGCCCAAAACCGGACACAGGACTCCTCATCTCGTCTCACAAGCGCTCAAAGAGGAGGAGAGGCACTTCCCTCGACCTGCTGGCTGCACTCGGGCTAACACGGCCCAGCCCAGCTTGGCCTTCCTCACCCCGGGCACACTGCTCGCTCTCGGTCAACTGCTTCTCCCCCAGGTCCTTGTCTGCTAAGCTGCTGTCCAGACAGCTTGCCCCAGCCTGTACTGTGCCATCGGGTTACTCCACTCAGGGGCAGGGCTGCCCATCTGCCTCTGGTGAACTTCAGGAGGTTCACGTCACCCCCTTTCCTCACCTGGTAAATCCCTTTGAATAGCAGCCCTCCCTCCCATGTATCAGCTACTCCTCCCCCCATTTGGGATCATCTGCAAACTGGCGCACAGCACCCTCCACCTCATCCTCCACGCTGTTAAGAGGGATAGCAAACAGTTTTGGCTCCAGTACTGACCCCTGACGGAAACCACTAGTAACCAGCCACCACATGGACTTCATGCTGTTTTGATCACCACCTTTTGAGCCCAACCGTCCAGACGGTTTCCCTCCCATCTTGCCGTCCACCAGTTTAAACCACAACCCTCCAGCCTCCCATTTCAGAGCAAAGCTCCATGCATTCAAGCCACTCCTAGAGGACAACTCCTCCTTCTTCACCAGTTCATATCACATCTTTCCAGTTTGGTTATAAGGATACTATGGGATGGATACCTTGTCAAAAGCCTTGGTGAAGTCAAAGAAAACATCCACAGCTGTTTCCTTGTCCATAGGGAGAGTCATCTCATCAAATAAGGCAATCCGGCTGGCCAGGCCAGATCAGCCCTTGGTAAATCCATGTTAGTTGTTCCCAGTCACCTTCTTGCTCTTCAGGTGCCTGGAAATGGCTTCCAGGATGACTTGCCCTTTAATCTTTGCAGAGGCTGATGTAAGGTTGATCATTGTGTAGTTCCCCAGATCCTCCTTCTGGTCCTTCCCAACAAGAGACGTGACATTTGCATTTTTCCAGTCATCAGAGACCTGCCCTGATCACCTTACTATTTTGAAGATGATAAACAGCAGCCTTGCAACGACCCTGTCCAGATTTCTCAGTACCCTTGGATGTGTCCCATGTTCACCCAGGGACTTGTGCAAGTCCCGCTGGTTTAAGCTTTCCCTAATCTGATCTTCCTCTAGTGTGAATACTGCTTTACTCTCATAGATTCTCCTAGTAGGTACATGGATCTTGGTGGCCTGAGGGCAGACTTTACCAGTAAAAAATGAGAGGAAAAAAAGGCGCACAGTACCCTAGCCTTCTTCACGTCCTTTGTTACTAGGTCCTCTGCCTCACTGAGCAGCAAGACCACATTTTTATTAGTCTTTCCTTCATTTTAGACATATGTATTGAATCTCTTCTTGTTGCCATGCACGTCCTTACTACTTTCAACTACAGCTCAGCTTTAGCTTTCCAAATGTTATCCCTGTATACTCAGGCAGCATCACTGTATTTCTCCCAAGAAGCCCAACTTTGCTTCCACCATCCATGTGCTTTTTGTTGCCTTTAAAAGGCATCCGTTACCTATTAGAATTTCAGCATATCATTTTCTTCAGCCAGAGGTCCAGGCTTTCTGGAAACCTTGCTGCTGCCAGCAGTCAACGCACAAGGCTGATAAACACAGGCTAGGATTGCAGTGTGGTGAGCGGTCAAGCAATGAGTGGTGCGTGCAAAACTTTTGAGTGAGAGCAACTTTCAGAGCATTATGCTGGTAGACCAACAGCATGGCAGCACTGGCACAGGACAAAGTTTGAGAAGCCTGTTCCTTTTCATCATGGAAATAGCTTGGTGTTGACCAATCTACAACAGAGAAGACGTAATGGAGGTATCTGAAGCAATTATCCACGTGCTTTTTCTCAGTGTTGTCCATCTAAGGGATGTAGACAAAATTATTCACGGCGTCTCTGCGCAAGGTTTTCCCAACTGTGCAGTTGCCACCACTGGCATCCACATGCCCATCAAATGTCCAGTGCAGGGTTTATACGATTACATTGACCACAGGGGACAGAACTCGATTGTAGCAAAGACTTTGGTGAGGGAACACAGGAGGAGATTCACAGACTCAGATTCATAGTGTATATGGATATAAACCACAATGCCTGCATATTCCAAAATTAAATGGGAATTCCTGGAAGTTAAATGCAATATTTTAAGTATTCTTTGGAATAGAAAGAAAGTGAAAAACGGAGGGTATATACCCATCTGTACTGTGGTTCATGTAGCATAGCCACTTTCTCTCTGGATTAATGCAGCCCTGCCCAGATGCTGATGGACCATCTCATCACTTCAGCTGCATTCTGTGCACCACTGTGATGTGAAATGTGCATCTGGAAGACTTCCTTTAAGAAGTTTGTGGAACATGCTAGGTCCAATCATATTAAATACTTTGCAGATAGCTAGTGTCTGTTGCGGCCACTGCAACCATTGCTCTGATATGGGGAGATGTCGTCCGCAACTGTCCGCAATCTTCTTGCAGCATTCCCAGCCTGCTGCAACCTCTGGTAGAGAATGTGGTACCACAGAAGGTCTCAAAATCAGAGATTATAGCTCTAGATTTATCACAGAAGGTGATGATGACAGCAGAGGTCATGTGAGTGAAATTCTCAGATATTATTTTTTACCCTACGAAATCTAACTTGAAAATCTAACTTGTTTCTGGGTGTGTTTTAGGCTTAAAAATTAATTAGTTTCCCTAAATACTCTTCTTAAACATCTTTTCTGTTTCTGCTTACTCTGGCCTAGACCCTTTGACTCACAATCTACTTGATAACTCTGCTACTTCTGGAATACTGTTATATGCCTTTCTGCAACATATCAAAGTCTGTCCTTAGCCCTGTGCCGGGACATCTGCTCCTAAAACTTCTTCTGAAAGGTAAGGCTTGTACCTTTTGCTAAAAGTACTACCTGTG